CCTCTGTAGGGCTGGGGCTCTCTTTCTCTTTCTCTCCAGTTGTGTTTCTGTACCTTCAACAGCAGCAGCTTTTTCCTTGACTTCCTCCACAGCTTGCCATATCAAAATAGGTTCTTGTATCAATTTCTGGGTGGTTTCTGTATTGGTATTGTCCATACTCCCTGCATTCAAGTCAACCTCAACAATTGAAACATCCACCTTCGCATTTATCATGTCCATTTTCCTGTGAAGCTGATCCAATGAGTCATTTATCTTATATAATGCCGCCACCAAAGCCTCTTCTGTCGACATTCCTCTTAGTTTCAAATATACTAGTACAGAGACAGCAACAAAAAGAACAGGAGGGCTTAATAATAAACCTCTCATGGATTGTTACCAAGTCCTCCCAGACCTTAATGTTTTATCATCAGTTGACTGGTCTGTTTTTCCTCTTCCATTTACCATAACATTTGAAAGATTCAAGGTCAGTCCCAGAGTCTCACGGTTTTTAACTTGCAGCTGGAAATTCCCCTAGTCCAACTCTTGTAATTCAACCAGTTTCAAAGGCTTCCACTAGGGGGAAACAGTTTCTATTTGTAAAAGTCAATAGTATCCTCTTTTAAACAATCTGAAGTTAGTTTCAAATTAGTTTCAATTTTCAGTTACTTTTACTCCTTTTTAAAGCAGCCGGAAACAGTAGAAACAATGTATTTCTCTTATTTAGCTAGCTGTCAATGAACGTTCTAAGCGCTGTCAATGAACATTCCAAAAAGCGTCAGTTTTACTAGCAGCCCGTTTCCAGGGTCAGAGTGGCGGTGTTTTAAGCCTCTTCGCTCTCTCCCGCAGGCATACTCAGTCCGCAACTTCCCCCTCTCTTCTCCTGCCTCCAAGAGGGGGTTTAATGTTCTTTACTGTTGGAAATTTGATCTTTTACAAAAGACCTTTCAAGACTCCAGCTTGCAACTTCATTGCCTCAGTCTATTAACAAAAGGGAAGGCGGACTTCCTGTTTTGAACCTCCCCGTTACAATACCAAATTAAACCTTTAGAAATCCAATTCTTCCATTTCAGCTCTACTCACGGGTAATTACTTTAAAATCAAATTGTCCACAGGAAAAGGTCAGCGCTCTCCGGCAACAACTATGCGGCTTCGCTCCGTGGAAGAAGCAGACGATTCGATGGACTGCGCCGCTCACCCCACGTCACTCCGGAGCCCCAAAAACCGGGGTTCCCCGCGAGTGGGGGAGGCGCAAAAGGTGCCCGCCGAATCCCACGTTCACAGGCTTCTCCCGCCTGTGATTTTAACGGGTCTCCGCCTTCGCCGTGGCGGCCAGACCCAGATTTCCACGGAGCAGATTCCTCCCGGTCAGAGAAATTCTGCCATTACCGGAGGCGCCTCCCCCGGAAGTCCTCACTACCAGATTTCTAGGGGGGAAATCAGATTTTTTTTTTACAGAGAGTCTTGGCTCTCTGTGTCCTTTCCCCAGTCTCCTCTCCCTAACCAGATGTGGGACCAAAAGGTGAATCATCTTCCTGCTTTCCTTCTTGGTTTGTTCCCGAAGGTGGTAGAAGTTTGAGGTGACAACCGTCACTAACACAAGGACATGTTTGGGTGAAGATCTTACCAAATGGGGACTTCCGGGGTGGCACCATCGGTAATGGCGGATTCCCTCTGATCTGGAGGGACCAGCTCCACGGGAAACGGGTCTTTCCCGCTACGGCGAAGCGGGGACCCTTTCAAAAATCACAGGCGGATGAAGCCTGTGACCATGGGACTCGGCGGGCACCTTTAGCGCCCCCCCAACCCGCAAAGGAACCCACTAATGGGCTCCGGAGCGAAGAGGGGGAAGTGGCGCGGTGCTGAGAGTCAACTGCTTCTTCCGTGGAGCGAAGCCGCACAGCCGTTGCCGGAGAGTGCTGCCTTTTTCCTGGGACAATTTGGCTTCTAAAACAATCACCCGTGAGTACTTAAATTTCGGACAATTGGATTCTAAATAAGAATTTGCGTGCAGAAAGGAAAATTGGACTTAAAAGTTTACTTCAATTTGGCACTGAAACGGGAAGGTCTAAACAGGAAGTCAGCCTTCCGTTTCTTTGTAGATAGATTAAAGCAAAGACATGGCAAACTAGAGCTCAGAAAATCGCTTGTAAAGGACTAACTTTCATCATTTAAGATTGTTGAACCCCCTTCGGAAGCAGGAGAAGAGGGGGGATTTTTTCTGAACTGTTTAAACCTGCAGAAGTGAGTGTAAAGTAAAGTAACTTTCCACCGTCTTGATCCTGGAGCGGGGTGTCAGGACTGACGTTTTTTGAAGCTCATTGACCAGAGACAAACGTTTTTGACAGATAGCTAAAAGAAGAGAAACATAGTGATTCCATTGTTCCCCTTTGCATTTTAAAGGAACAAATATTGACAAAATATCTGAAAAAGGAAACTTTGTTGTTAGATTTGTCTTTAAAAAAAAAGAACAAATAGAAGTTTTTCCCCTAGAGGGAGCCTGTGAAACTGTAACTAATTCTGAATCGGGGAGCTTGCAGCTGTTACAGATTACGATCGTGGGAATAGACTTCTGACCTTGCAGGACAATGTGTTCAGAAGCTCTGCTGTGTGCTCTCTTTAAAACAAGTGCCCTACTGGAACAGCTACATGAGAAGACGGACTTGATGACTGATGCAATCAAGAATTTTGAACAGGCAGTGGGAAATTATATGGAGCCCACTCAGGAATTAAATCAGGAGTGTGCCCTGACAGAACAGATGAGGGAAGAGGATGTTGCTGAATCTTGGGCGCCAGGGATGGAGGGAGCTGTGGCCCAGCAGGAACATGAGCTTTTGGATTTGACAAATGAACTTGGAAAAAGCCATATTTGGAAAGATAAAGTTTGGTTTGGTTTGGAAATGGGGGGTTGGATAGACCCCCCTATGCAGGGATGTTTGGACTTTTCAAGTCTGGCAATGGGCCGTGAGATGTTTGGGGTTGTGGGGGCTCTTAATTTTGGAGAGACTTTGAAACATGTTCTTAAATACCACATGGAGTTTAGTGTGGACTATGGAAAAGGGGCTGATTTGTCGAGAAGGGTCAAAAGCATTGCTAAGCTGGAGTTCCCACGAGTGAAAGGAGCAGGAGACAAAGGAAAATACAGTTATAAATATGAAGAAGAGCCGCGGAAGGGACATGGAAGGGACTTAAGGGCCTCGGATATAAGATTACCAGATTAATGCGCTAGATTGATGAGATAAAAAGGACTGACAAAACCCGGGACCAGGAGGAAGAGACGCTGGATGAAGATTGGATTGTTTTTATTTCTTGTGTATTATTAGGATTGTTTTATAAAACTGATGAATGTTAGAAAAATGTTGGAACGAAATTATTTGGCTTTAGCAAAAATGTTTAAAGAATTATGTAAGAATATTATGGTTATGAGAAGTTAGTAAAAATAAGATTTAAGTTTTAGGTTTTAAGGTTTTTATAGTAAGATAAGATTAAAATAGATTAAGGTAATGTAATGACAGAATATTATGAAATATGGAAAGGATTTGCTGCGACAATTAACAACTAGGATACAAAAAAAGGGAGGAGGAGGAGTCAAAGAAAGAAGGTAATGACAGTTAAGGATTTGAGAACAATGGATTTGTTTTTAAATGTTTGTGGTATATTTTTGTCTTTTGATTAATTTGTATTGGTTGATGTGGTTTGTTTTTTCTTTGTTTTTTTCTTTTTCTTTTTCTACCTTGTTTTCTTTTGTAATTCTAAAAAATTTTCAATAAATATCATTAAAAAAAAAAAAGAAGATCTTACCAAATGGCTTTCCTATACCCTTTGCTCCCACTGATTCAGAACCTCTTATAATTAGAGTCATGGCACTGAAAGGAATACCTGAAGGATCATTTAATCCAACTCCAACCTGTTGCTTCACTATTCCTGGTTTCCTGTGTTTGTATAACAGCAAGCCCCCGCCCTCCAAACAAATATTGCAGATTCTAATGGAAATATTCCCTTTCCCCTAGAACACATTGCCCACCCTGAACCTGAGTGCCTTATTTGTTGCCAGCATTATCAGGGAGATGTTTCTGGACAGTAGGAAAAGGGAAACATCTCCCCTCCAAAAAAATCTTCCCAAGAAGAGGGGAGGAGACTGAGCTAATCCCAAACTACAATCCCTTCCAGGTTGTTAAGAAATCAAAGGTGCTGAACCAGACCAATGTCCTGCCTTGCTTTACTTAATTTTCCTCTCTCCAACTTCCTTCCAAAATTCTATGGCTCACTGTCGGCCTGTTTTCCTGTTTTTGTTTTACATGATAGGTTTGTTTTAATTTACAACCCAATAAATTTCTATATCCCTGGGATGCTGAAACAACTGCCTTATTTTTCCATGTTAGCATTCTACTTCCAAGCACATTGGCTCCTAAATCTTCCCAAATTTGTATATTCGGAGGGATTATGACATATTTACACATTAATATATTGAAATGTATTAACACGTGTATATGAGGCAAGGTGGAGGGGGTTTTTTTCTTTTTCCCTGGACAGATACATTTGAGTTGGTTTAATACAAGACATTTGGACCATACCACACCCTAGGGTAGGGGGTATTCACAAAACAAGACAATTGTGGATGTAGTTGTATATGCAAAGACTCCCCTGGAGCTACCACCCCTTTGTTCAGGACTCCAGATCTTGGGGAAATCCCCCTTCTTACATATGTTTGTGCTTTAAGTGTGGGTGCCTAGGAAGTGTGGGTGTCAGAGGCAGGACTAGTCCATACTGCCCTGCTCCTTGTTCTTCCCTTGTTGAATAAACATGCTAATAACACCTGAGTAGCTCTTCTATCTGTAACCTGCTGCAGGTGAACATAAAACCATTTCCCACTATTCCACCATCCTCCCTCTTGTCACCCCGGTGGCTGAATCATGGGAAATGGCTGCAGTGTGAACATCAAACAAACCAGTTTAGAATCTTAGAGTTGGAAGGAACCCTGAGGATCGGTTAGTCCAACCCCCTGCAATGCAGGAATATGCAGCTGTTGCTTATGGGGATTGAACCTGCAACCTTGGTGTTACCAGCACCACACTCTAACCAGCTGAGCTATCCAGGTGTGGACAACCTTTGGTCCTCAGCTGTTGCTGAACTACAACTTTCATCAGCCCCAGCAAGCCTGGACAATGGTCATGGGAGTTTGCACGCAAAGCAGATGCTCCATCCCTGAGTCTTTCCCCTTCTTTGCTTTTGTTCAATACACTTTCCTCAATTCTCAAGGGAATTTGGAATTGATCATCTCTCTTTCTCTAAAACTCTGAGATATAAATATCTTGCCTACTTACCACGTCTGAAACTTGTGAGATATTAAAAGAGACCTAGAGAACAATAGCGGAGAGAGGCGAGGGAGAGAGTGGTTGGCTGGTTCCCTGGGATGGGTGGAGCTAGACTGTCACCCAAGACCCATAATTAACTGGCTGTGTCATTTGACTCCTGTGTAAGAAAAGGCTGCTCCTTACTCAGTTATTACTCAGGAAATTGTTGTCTGGAAACTATGGCACGGCGTGCAACTGAAGCCGCCATGTTGATGTGATTGGGCTATACCATGGGTAGGCAAACTAAGGCCCGGGGGCCGGATGCGGCCCAATCGCCTTCCCAATCTGGCCTGCAGACAGTCCGGGAATCAGTGTGTTTTTACATGAGTAGAATGTGCCCTTTTATTTAAAATGCATCTCTGGGTTATTTGTGGGGCCTGCCTGGTGTTTTCACATGAGTAGAATGTGTGCTTTTATTTAAAATGCATCTCTGGGTTATTTGTGGGGCATAGGTATTCCTTCATATTTTTTTTCAAAATATAGTCCGTCCACTCCCACAAGGTCTGAGGGACAGTGGACCAGCCCCCTGCTGAAAAAGTTTGCTGACCCCTGGCCGCTATACAAAAGGTGAGGACAAGAGAGTGCAATTGGCTGTTTTATCATGTACAGTTGTCAGCAGAGTGGGTACCACAGGTATTGTGCTGCTGCTTGGCTGCAAGGAGGCTTTTCGAGGCTCCAGCTACAAACAAACTTTGATCTGGTTTTGGAAACCCTGGAGCTCCCCTTTGGCTGCTTCCAGCCAATTGGCTGGTCACTCAGTGCACCAAACTTACCAGATCTACTGCATGGCAAAAGGCAGGTAAGTGTCTGGAGGCTGACCTGCCAGCCCATCACCCTTTAATCTTGGAGCATATCCACACTGAACAAGGTGGAAATATTGTATTGTGCATCAAAACAACAGGTATTCACCAGCCTGGGGGGAAAATGGGGGGTTGTAAACAGTTCAAATAAATACACATACATATGCACACAACTAACATCAAAGAACTCCAGAAAACTGATCTTCCATTTTTGGTAGGCCTGGTGACTATGAGGCCTGGATAGCTCTGGCATCTGAGAAACTGATATTGTAGATCTACCCTTCTCTTGTTTCTCATCTGCTGTTTATCTATGTATTCCCACCCACAATTCTTTCCCAGTAGGGTTGCCAGACCTCCAGGACTGACCTGAAGTATCCAGGTGGCAGGTGGCAGGCCTGAATCTCCAGGTGGGCAAGGCTGCCTTTAAGAACAATAACACAAGAATTAAGAAGGCTGTGCACGTAGCTTGCAAGCGTCAGTCTGTCAGCAGCTGGCTACAAATTCTAGCATAGATGCTTGGTGGGAGGGTCCGCCCTCCATTCCCCTCTCCCAGTTAGCCTCCAACTCTAGGGCCCACCCCTATGACATCAGCAGGGGGTCATCCTTATATCTCAAGTTTGCACCCTGAAATCTCATGGTCTAGGATGTTCCCAACCTGGCAACCTTATTTCCCAGGCTCCCTCCACGCTCTCCAGTCCTTCATTCATTGCACTGTTGCTGTAATCAATCTTACTGGCTTCCTCCCCAACTTGAATAAAATATGGGGGGGGGGGAGGTAAGCCCTGCCCACGTAACTGATCACATGCACACCATTTGAATGGCAATGCCCATTAACTTTGGGTGGTCAGGCCCCCTCAAATATTTTATTGGGGGGCTGAAGCCCCCTTGGCCCTAGGATTTGGCGCCTATGCTCCCCACCCCGCATTGCGTTCCCTGCTTTTTAAGAAAGAACACACCAGGATAGCTCAGTTGGTTAGAGCCTGGTACTGATAATGCTAAGGTTGCAGGTTTGATCCCTGTAAGGCATATGAACACAAGGTTGCTTTGCAAGGCTGGTGTAACCCACACTCCCTCAGCCACAACCCCAGACTTGAACTAAATGGGTTTTCATGGACCTCAATCCCAACTCTGTCCCTTTAGTTGTTAAAAGGAACTGCTAAAGAGGTCCCATCAGGTGGGAAAATTTAGCCTGGCAAGTTGCATAACAAAAGTGATGGCTAAATGCAGGTGTTGTTATTACAGAAATGAAATACCTGGAGATCCTACTGGCAGTGGCGGAGCTTCATGCTCCGGCACCGGCGGTGGAGAGCAGGTGGGGGCTTGGCGGACGCGTGTCCTGGGGGCGTGACGCACCACCTGTGGGGGTGTGGCGCCCATTGGGGGGGAAGGGCAGCCACGATGGCACACCACCGGGATCATGGTGCCTGGGGCGGTGTGCTCCTTCCGTCCTCCTCTTCCTCCACCAGTGCCTACTGGGAAGGACTACTCAACCCCCTCCTGCCTGCGATCAAAGTTTCTGTGGGGTGGGGGGCAGTCTTGAAACTGACAACCTGAAAGAAGAGCGGAGGCTTGGCTCGCTCTCTGTCTTATGGCACAGGGAACTCTAGAAACCTAATCAGAGAATAGTGTGCATCTGAAGTGTACACCTTGGCACCAGAACTTTGAAGTCACACAACACAGAAGAGCTGGGGTGAGGCTTCAGTATTCATTTTTTAAAAAAAATAATATTTATTGCTTTTAAACCTTACAAAAGGAAGAAAAGAAAAGAAAAAAGAAAAGAAAAGAAGGGGAAAAATGCAAAAGAGAAAACAATACAATACAATATATAAACAATACAGAACACAACATTAACATTAACACATTAAACAAAGCAAAAGCAAAAACAACTGGGAAAAAAACCACACATCATACCATCTCAATATCGTCTCTTTCATTCCCTTATTTCATCGACCTCCTCTCACCTCCCTTTTTGTATTCCATTTCTATTAATTGTTTCAGCAAATCCTTTCCATCTTTCTCTATTTTCTGTCATACTTCAGGCTGCAGTATTCAAATACAGTGGTACCTCAGGTTACATACGCTTCAGGCTACAGACTCTGCTAACCCAGAAATAGTACCTCGGGTTAAGAACTTTGCTTCAGGATGAGAACAGAAATCGCATGGTGACAGCAGGAGGCCCCATTAGCTAAAGTGGTACCTCAGGTTAAGAACAGTTTCAGGTTAAGAACGGTCTTCCAGAACGAATTAAGTACTTAACCCGAGGTACCACTGTAGTGATTGATCCGTTTGACTTCCAAAACGTTCGCAAACCAAGGCACGGCTTCTGATTGGCCCCAGAAATAATGCTGACAGCCGAAGTGGTCATTCAGCTTCCAAAAAACATTCACAAAACGGAACACTTACTTCCGGGTTTGCGACGTTCGGGGGCCGATTTGTTCAGGAGCCAAGCCATTTGGTGGTACCTCAGGTTAAGTACTTAATTCGTTCTGGAAGACTGTTCTTAACCTGATGCACACTATTCTCTGATTAGGTTTCTAGAGTTCCCTGTGCCATAAGACAGAGAGCGAGCCAAGCCTCCGCTCTTCTTTCAGGTTGTCAGTTTCAAGACTGCCCCCCACCCCACAGAAACTTTGAGCGCAGGCAGGAGGGGGTTGAGTAGTCCTTCCCAGTAGGCACTGGTAGAGGAAGAGGGGGACGGGGGGAGCACACCGCCCCAGGCACCATGATCCCAGTGGGGTGCCATCGTGGCTGCCCTTCCCCCCCCATGGGCGCCACACCCCCACAGGTGGTGCGTCAAAGCCCCAGGACGCGCGTCCGCCAAGCCCCCACCTGCTCTCCACTGCCGGTGCCGGAGCATGAAGCTCCGCCACTGCCAGTAGGATCTCCAGGTATTTCATTTCATCTCCAGGTATTTCATTCTCGAAGCTACCAGCATGAGTCTGACCAAACTGCAGGAGGCAGTGGAAGACAGGAGGGCCTGGCGTGCTCTGGTCCATGGGGTCACGAAGAGTCAGACATGACTAAACAACAACAACCATTGTACCTTAAATCTGTCACGTTATAACTTCTTGGTTTTATCATGTATGTATTTTGACTACTCACATAGAAGGGAGAAAACTGTTCTCATTAGGAGAAAAGGAAGGGTAAGAGCTGAAGGTTCAGGTGAAAAGGATTTCTTTCTACTATTAAACAAACATTTAATTCAAATCCTCCTCGGAAATGGTTCCGTCAGATAGAGAGGGTAATTGGCTCATTGATCCAGCGTTATCCTAATTTGATTCTCTCTTAGAACTGCAAACTGAACAGGCAAGGGTTCAGATCTGCTGGATAATACAAATGAATCTCCTTCAGCAAATTTGGCCATTGGAGAAGAAAATCACTCTTAGGAGAGGTTATCTACACACTGCTTATTGACAGGGAAATTATGAGGAAATTTCTTCTTTAGGTGAAAGGCATTGAGCGAATGGTATCTTATATTAATGCTCAGTTTCATGTAATTAGTTCTGTAATTGAACTAGAAATAGTAACAGCAAATGAGAAAGCTGTTTTGAAAGGTCATTGGGAAGAATCGAGCTTAATGCTCTCATGCCTCAGTTGGACAACCATAGCACTGGATTTGGGTATCTGTCCTGGAATGTCTTCTAAGATCCGTATCCTCTGTTAGCCTCAGCTGCCCTCCTCCTGAGAAAGACTGAACCAAACCTCTTTTATGGAGAGAATCCATTGCCTTTGAGATCCAACACACTGTGGATGAAATTGCCTGTCTGGAAACATTAAGATAAAGGATGGAATTTCAGATGTTCCCGGTACATCTGGGTCAGAAGAGGCTGCTGAACACAGTTTCTACTGTAGGCATTGTCGTACGACAGTCAGCAGGAACTGGCATACTTTCCAGAGCCCTCAGAAGGATTTGATGTGGGAGTCTGTTGTAATAAGATGACATCATGAAATATTCCCTGTTCAGGCCAGCTTTGCCAAATTACAGATCTGCATCTTGTTTTGATGTCTGGATTTCTCCATAACAGTTAGAGCAGGATGCGAATTGTGGTAAAAATTATGCTGAAAGTCAAACCATCCTTGTGACCATTATTGGGCGGGTATATATTTTGCCTGGGCTTTGAATTTGGCAGTTTGTCCATCACTGTATCTCCTGCTTCTCAGTCCTGACCAAGGACTCAGGTACATTAGTAAAGAAAAAGCATTTTAAACATGTTATAACACTGTGACATCAGATGGCGCTGTGGAGTTCCATCTTTCACCAATGTGATTTCCCATTATCAGGTTTACAACACGGATTCCTGAAACCAATTTTTTGATGTGTCTAGATCCAGCCCAAGTAAGATTCCTCTTAAGAAATACCACCAGCAGGTCCACTACATCGGGTAGCAAGGAAGACTTCTGAAAGAGTCTACCAGTTGCAATGAAACGTTTTCAATAAATCGGTGTCATTGTTTAACCAACCCAAATTGGGTCCATGGTTGATGATTAACAGTCCTTTATTTCTTACAATTCATAGTTCCAATATGTCGCTCTTTCTCTCAGCCCAAGCCTACAAGCCATTTATGCATCAGAAGATATATAAACAGATAGTCAGTTAGAGACAACACCCAGTCAATGACTGTCGAGAAGCAACCAGGTAGGGTTGCCATATCCAAACTCTGATGGAGCTCATGCAATTTATTGCAGAGAAGGGTCCATTTTGTCTAGTGTAATATTTAGGTAGGTAGGTTCTTGTGTATTTATTTCATGTCTATCCCACCTTTCTCCAAAGAAGCTCAAGGTGTACAAGGTTCTCCCCTTTCCCTTCTCTATTTTATCATCACAAAAACTCCACAAGGTAGGTTAGACTGAGAGACAGTGGCCTGGTTTGAACACACCTTTACCACGTGAACTTGCTCACAGCTGCTTTGCTACTCCTGGGCTTTTTAGATCAGTGCGGGACTAGGAATATACCAATGTTGTTTTCTTTCAGTTCCTCATTTCCCCCCTCTTAGGTTTGATTCTCCATGTATCCACATCAGGGTTTTAATTTTTTTTTGTGGGGTGGGGAGCTAAGTCCTCAAGAACTGTTTCAGTGCAAATTTCTCCTAATATGCACATTTTCTTAGCAATTTCCCTAATACTCATTTTTGCAAATGAAATTTCCACTAAAATAATAATTTTCATATGTTATGTTTGCCAATAAATGCATCAAATATACACATTTTATCCTAGTATATGCATTGTTGTACACGTTGCTTGGCTGGAAAACTGCACTGCAAAATTCAAGGAAGTATGAATTTCAAAGCAGGGCTGTGTTTTGGTTCAGGTATTGTTTCGGAAAGTGGAAATTCAGCAACTTCACCTTTAAATGCAAACTGGGCCATGACTGGTCCAAGGTCACCCAGTGAACCTTAGGACTGAGTAGGGATTTAATTCCTGGTCTCTGGTCCTAATCCAACACTGTAACCACTACCCCAGTGTTCTTCAACCCCAGATTTCTAGGTGTTGTTTAACTGCAACTCCCGTGATCCCCAGTTGGCTTAGTCAATGGTCAGGGATGATGGGCGCTGTAGTCTCACAAAATCCAAGGTTGAAGAACACTGCATTACATTGACTCTTTTCCCACCACAGTGCTGCTGTAGAGATGACAGGAGAAGCCGCGTCTGGCAGAATCAAAGGTGAAAAGTGCCTCTTTCCAGGACGGGTCCCATTGGAAGGAAGATCTGTGGGGCATTGTTCTAAGTGACAGCAAAAGTTCTGGGAGAGCAGAGTCCCAGCTGCCAAGGGAGTGGGGGAGAGAAGGCTGAATTTAAGCAGACAGTGAACAAAGGAGTGAGAACTAATTATAGGATCATTGAGGCTGGAAGAAAGAGTCCCTTAATTGGCTGTCTAGGAGTGACTGGAGAGGAGAGATGAAAAGAACTAAGTGTTGAGGGCTGCTTTGCCTGGAGTAAATGAAGAGAAAGGGTTCGTGTGGCGGTGGGAGGATCACAAAACTGGAATGTCTTGAAAGGATAAATGGTTTTGAAAAAAAGAATGGGACATCCTTCAG